TCTAAGTACCTGCTTCCCTTTTCCCTGGAGAGGGAAGATGTGAAAACTGGGGAGTGGGGGGCAACCACGAGTCCAGGGCTCGTGCTGCCTGCGCTCAGCTAATAGACAACACAGGAGCTGCGCTATTTAGAATAAGCGTTTATTATCAGAGCACCAGTGGTCTGAGAAGGCAGCGGGTTAACACCTCCAAAACCTTCCTTCACATTCTCAGACTGGCTGCGGGTATTTAAGGGGAAATCTGGGTGTTCCTCTAAAGGCTACATGAGGGTTCGGGGGTCTACGTGGACCTCCCCTCTGGCTACGTGGTTCTCCGGTGGCGTCAGCAGCCCGGGAACAATGACGGGAGTCACCTGGAAGGAATGCTAGACCATAGAGATTGTGATCAGTAGGCATAAGGGCATTAATCATAAGTTTCAGGGTAATTTTCTAAAGCAGGGAACTGGGACAGGGGACATTCCGAGCTCAAGCCTCAGGGGGACAATCTATTCCTAAACTATAGGTCAACGAAAGACACGGAGATGCCTCTACTATGGGGGTCGCAACCAGGCCTGCTTCAGGCGGAGGATGAGACTACAGGAACTGCTGGGATCCTGGTGACCACATGACAGTGCTGGGACAGTACCAGGAGGGAGGGGCCCCGGGGAGAGCAGGGAAAGGGGGGAGCGCTGCTGGGGAGGTCCCTGCAGGAGAGGGACCCTGGGTTGAGTGAGGGGAGCCCAGGACTCCGGGTCTGGCTGTGCCCTGTGGGATCCGGGAGAAGCTCACCCCCAGGCAGCCTCCTCCTCTGTGACCCCTCTAAGGTCCCCCAAGTGGTGACATCCTGAGTCGGGGCTCCGTCCAGACAGGACTCACCTGTGGCTTCTCAAGGTCTCGTCTCAGTCTCCTCATCCTGCCCTGTCCCTGTGTCCCCACAGAAGCTGACAGCTGGGGAGCCTGTTTAGGGCGCCCTCCAGGAGAAGACCCCTGGCCGTCCCTGCGGTCACTTCGTCAGACCCTAAGGGCAGCGGGGCTCCTCCTCTCCTGGCCTCCTGCACCTGCCCACTGTGTCCTCTGCCTCTGCTCCTGAGAGGGGCCTTAGCACGGGGTCCACAGACCACCTGCTGCCCGACATCCTGTCCTCCCCACAGGGTGGGCAGTGTGGTCTGCACAGCGCCCTCAGGGAAGTGACTGCAGCTGTGTGAGTCAGAAGCCGCCAAGGCCTTGGCCACAGTTTCCAGTTCCTGTGTGATTAGCAGGAAATGCCAGGTCTCCCTCCTGTCCCCCAGGTACAGACCCTCTTAGCAGCGCGTGGGGCAAATAAGACAAACGTGAAAATCTCTTAGGAAGGTGCCACATAGAGAGTGGAAGTCACATTTCCCTTCATAACAAAACCTGACTGATGTCGTTTGTTGCACCAAAATTGGTTTTTCAATATTAGCTTCACACGCTGTGTGGATAGTGATGGTGACTTGAGCTCCTCCAAACTTCTTTGATTTTGCCTGTTTGTTAATGAGGGAACCAGCAGGATGTCACACTGCATAGTAAGTCAGAGCCACACATCTAGGCCATCAGGAGTCTGGATGTCCTGGGTTTACCTGGGTTTGCATTGTTTGTGACTACAGAGCTAACGTCTGGAAGGTGCACACATCACAGCGCCTACCTGAGGAGGAGACACACTCAGGACTCTTGAATAAACGCCATAACCCCCGTAATAGCTTTAGATGAACACACAATATTTTACAATTACCAAGCAAACCCTGAAGAAATGGGGAAGATGCCACACCAAACAGAGTCGATAATATCAATCTTTCCAGCCCGAGCTTGGCGCCTGCACCTGTCCTCCCCTCCATCTTTCCAATTCTCCCTGGCAGCACACGTGCCAGGTACTTCCTTGGTGACATGGGGCTGACAGTGGCTGTGGAGCAGCTGCTGTTGACACAGCGATGAATTTGCTTTTCATATCAGGGCTTTGATAAGCATGAAGGCTCGGCTGGATTATGGCTTATTTGAGCCCCTATGGGATGGCACCCCCGGGTGTGTGACTCCGAGAAGCCCATCCCTGTACCCAGGAGGAGACCCCTGAGACGGCCAGTGGCTGAGAGAAAGCGCTGCACCCTGGACCTGGGACTGTCTGGTTCTGATACCAGGGAGCTTGGGCAAGAATAATCGTCCCAATAATGAGAGCAGCTCACATTTCAGAACCATTATTGAACATGGTGCTGAAAGATCTACTTAAATCCTATCAGTAATTCTGTCAGGTGGGCACTGTGACCATTTCCATTTCACAGACGAGAAAGCTGAAGGCAGGGAGGTTAGTAACTACTCAAGTCCACACAGCCGGGAAACAGGACCTGGACTCCACTCTAGCCTCTGACGCGGAGTCCAGGCTTCTGACTGTCACACTAGGTCACCTAGACTCACGCCCACGTCAGTTTCCAGTGGATCCAACACTGAAACACAATCACTGACCATAGCAGGGCCACTCTTCTTAAAACATGTGCAACTCCCATAAATTAGCAGGAAAAGGGAACAGGGGCAGAGGACATACGCAGACTTTCATCTGACAGAAAAGGAGCTTACAACATGGCAATAACATCAAATGATTGACTTCACTTATATGAGAAATGCACGTTTAAATTACAATCACATAGAATTTCCCATTATTAATTTGGGAAAAGGACAAAAAGCTTGATTGTGGTGTGTTGGTGGGAAATCTCAACATGGTCATTAAATGTGGGTTAGAACAGTCTCTGGAGGGCAATTTAGCAAAATCTGTGACAGGTTCAGATGTTCATGCCTTCCAGCCGTTGGACCGGCCCATGACCTAGCTTCACACACACACACACACACACACACACACACACACGCTCGTGTGCAGAGACTCAGGTTCCAGGCTGCTCAGTGCAGCATTGTTAGAGGTGGCAGGAAACAAGCCAAGTGTCCCTCAGAAGTGGATGCGAGTGGGGCACCTGGAACAGTGTGCAGCCACTAAACGAGTCACCTCCATGTGTCCAGACGCAGACTGGGCTCCCACTGGTGTCACTACGAGGGAAGTCAGGGGGTAGAGGGTGTGCATGGCGTGTGTCCTCATGTGTGCAGGTACACGTGTGCGCTTGTAGACATGTCTTATCTCCGATGAACACACAGGAATCGTGCCTGCCAGTGGGAAAGGGAAGGAACTCGATGGGTTGTCTGAGGGACACTAGACACTCGCTCTCTGACAGCCGCTGATTTGCAGGGACAGGAAAGTGTGTCTGGTGGGTGGGGGTGAGTGTCTCTTTCTCCAGGCAGTGCGAGTATTAAACTCCAACTGACCGGGGAGTCCCTCCTGCAAGCCAGGGTGGGCGAGTGTCTGCCACAGGCCTCTACCTGCCCTGCGGTGCCTGAGGGACGTGTGGCAGGAAGGGACCGAGGAGGAGCTGTGAGGAGCTGGCAGGAGGCTGACGAGGGAAGACCTGTAACTCTCCTGGACGGCCTGAGGCAGGAACAGACTGACCACGGCCCCCATGATGCAGGCCTTGAAGGCTTCTGGCCTTGGAGCCCCCACATGAACAGTGTGAGGGACCCAGTCCTGTGAGGGGAGCTGAAGAGACTGAGGACGTGCACAGTGACGTTAGTGATTAAATGAATACAGAGACGCCTGAAATACTTGCCATGTGAACATTGGCATGAGTGCGCTCGGCCCCCAGGGAGAGCCAGGAAGGGCAGGTGAGCAGGACGGAGGCAGGCCTGGTGCCAGGAGGACTTCAGGTTTGGAGGGACAGCTGTGTCCCCGGCAGGCAGCAGCCACCCCAGGCGGCCTCTGAAGGCAGGTTGTCCTTCCTTTCAGGATGAGGTCATTTGTGGAACTTCCTCTGGTCCATCCTGTCCTCCCCTGGTCTCCAGGAGGGACAGAGGCTATCAGGCGCCTGAGGAGGAAGGGGACAGGCTGGGGAAGTGCTGTCTTGGTGGCAGGGACAGTGGAACTCCCCATGGATCCTTTGCTCCCCCATGTTCTCTAGTCTCTGGCACTTACACAGGGCCCTGTCAGTAGTGTGGCCACAAAACATAAAACAGATCACACTACTCCTGAAGTGACAAGTGGAACCCACACGTGGTGCTCCTGGCCCCTCACCTCTGTGGGGCCGAGAGCCGGTGAGAACATGTGGGTTCCGTGGGCGCAGCTGCGAGGTGGTGGAACCTCCACCCCGGTGCCAGGACCCCGCCCTCCCTGTGTCATGGGACACGTGCCATGGGACAGACACACCCTGTTCTAAGACCCCAGGTGTTGTCATGGTTACCGCAGCACTGCCCAGCCCAGCCTGACCGCTACTCTGCCTAGAAAGAGGGAAGAGACCAGCTTCGTTATTGTCCCGGTGATTCCTGCTGTGAGCCCTGCTACCCCAGACTTAGGGCCTAAAACGCCCCCATGTGCAGTGTCAGGGTTTCTGTGAGGTAGGACCTCCGCTGTTCCGCGGGCTCCTCTGGCTTGGGGTCTCTCAGACAGAAACCAGGACCTTGGCTGGGGCTTGAGGGTCAGGGGAGGGGTCTGCTGCCAGCTCATCAGGGTTGCTGGTGGCATGCACTCCCTGTGGCTGCTGGCCCAGGGCGCTGCCCCTTCCCTGCGGTGGCCCAAGGCTGCTCCCAGCTCTGTGGCACTCCATTCCTTATAAGCCAGTGCCAGGTGCAGCCACACTCCAGGAGAGGGGGTCACACTGGGTGACCACGAGGTGGGACGGAGCCACTCTAGAAGCTGCCTCCTACAGATGCGCTTCTCACTGATGGGAGATGTTCTGGGCACCTCAATCCATGATCTTGTTACCTCACTTGTCACCGTGAGGCAAGGAGGGGTCTGCAGGTCTGCAGGTGGATGAGTGGCCTGCCCAGGGCTGCACCCGCTACAGCAGGACTTGATTCCAAATGTTCACATCGCTGCCCCAGGCTGCCTCCCGAGACCCCAGGGAGAGCCCTGGTGACTTCCCTGGAGACAGGTGGTGTGGTTCTTCCTTCGTCCCTCACGTCTCCCTTTTCCGATGCCCTAGGCGTCTGTGGCACTGGGCCCCTGAGTTCTGGAGGTGCGGATTCCAGAGCCCACATCTCTCTGAAGAGGGTCCAAGGAGGCTCCGTGTTATTCCACGTGACTCGGGAGCTGGAAGGAGACTCAGAAGCTCAGCTGGAGCAGATCGAGTGGCGCTTTGGCCCTGAGACCACCTACACAGTCCTGCTGCGAGTGGGCAGCGGTGGGGACCTGCCAACCTGGGTCGGCCTCCAGGACAAGTACAGGCACAGGGTCCATGTGCCCAATATGAGGTCCCTGCTCATTGAGAACCTGACCACTGAGGACAGTGGACAGTACCGGGCTCGAGGCAGCTTCACTGGAGGAAGGGGATTTACCCAGGTGTTCCAGCTCACTGTCTACGGTACGTGACATCTCTCACCCCCTTCCAGGGCCAACTCCTTTTCTGGTCCCCACGAGTGTCACATAGGCCCTCCTTCGGGGACTCCTTCCAGACCCAGCCTTCAGTCTCTCTTAACTCCCGGGAAGTCAGGTGAGTGAGCTCAGCACAATTGCAGAGCAGACCTGTCACTCACCTGAGCTAGAGTCACTGCAGTGTTTGGGGACAGGAAGACAGAACCTGGGAGGGGATGGGGTTATCGCCACAACACTTCTGCCTCTTTAGAGGAATCAGTGCAGCCATACGTCATCCGTGTGATAGTTTTCTGTGCTGCTGATAGTTTCCTGTGCTGCTGTCACAAAGTACAACAGCTCTGTGCTGAGATCCACACACACTCATTATCTCACCGGCCATAGGTGAGAGGTCACACACTGAGCAGGAGGCAGGGTGTCAGCAGGGTTGGTGCCCTTCTGCGGGCTCTGGGGACCCAACACTGCCCTCCCCACCTCCCAGTGGCACCCGCGTCCCTGCATGGGGGCCGCCCTCCCCGCCTCCCAGGCCAGCAGTGCTTGTCTCATCCTCCTCACGCTGCTGCCTCTGAACCCTCTCCTTCCGTTTCCACTTTGAAGGATCTGAGCTCAAGCGTCCCACCCAGACTCTCCCCAAGAGCCTCCTTATTGTCCTGCAGTTGATTAGCAATGGTAATTCTGCTCCCTTATTCTCCTTGCGTGTCATCCAACGTGCTCACAGGATTTCACAGTTACCACGTGAACATCGTGGGGCCGCTGCTCGGCCCACCACAGTCTGGAAACCCACGTGTAGGCAGGTGCTCCCTGCCCCGCCCGCGCTCACCCAGCACCTGGCCGAGGCCTCACTCACCGACACCCCACACATCCAGCTCGGAGAGACTACGGACATGCCGGAGACAGGTCACACGGCCACACTTCTTAGGCTCATCAGGCCACTTCTTTCCTTCCCTAGAGAACCTCTCTGCATAGGGGACGTCCTGCTGCAGCCAGTGGCTTCTGCAGCTTTAAGTCCCCGTAGGATTCTGTCACTTGACTTCCTGTGTGGACCTCAAGTTCAGTGGCCTGTGCTAACCACGCTCACAGTGGCCCTTCCTCGTCACAATCACCGCCTTTCCCACAAATGTCTGTTTGCGGGATCACGGGCCTTTCTCTGGGCTCCCAGAGCTGGCGGCTTCCTCTCTCCCTGGGCCGAGCCGTCCCACATGGCCTCAGCAGGAGACGCAGAGCACGGCCCTGGCCTGGGCGGTTCCTCCTGTGCCAGACTCTGCACCTCCCAGGAGACACCCCAAGTTCTGAGAAATGATGGGCCTTGAGTAGGTGGGGTCCAGGCTTTATTTTCTTGAGGGAGATTTTTAAGACTTGCTGAATTTGGTGGAATGATGTCAGGCTTCACCCCGCGTTTCCCTTCCTTATGATCACTTGCTGTGGATTTTGGCCAATTCTGTTTTACCTGGAAAGTTCTCTCGCCTCCTCAGCAGGAGGAAGCCAGCGCTTGGTGAGACTGGGTGAGAACCTGCACTGTGAAGGCCCCCACCTGAGCCTTCTGTCTCCCCCGCCCCTCCACCACAGAGCCAGTGCCCCTCCCCCAGATCCTGGCCAAGTCACTGTCTGTCACAGCAGACTGGTGCAACGTCACCCTGGAGTGCAGAGCCGTGGGGGCCTCGGAGGACCTGAATGTGACCTGGTGGCACAGTGACATCCCCAGGAAGTGGCAGCAGACAGGAACCCTGGGACCAGGCCCCAGCGTCCTGCCCCTGGCTGTGCGCCTGCCCCTGGACCAGGCCAATACCAACCTCACCTGTGCTGCCAGCAACCAGGAGGACCTAAAAACTGCCACCACCACCCTGAGGAACGTCTGTGCCCAAGGTGAGTATAAGATGCCCGGGGAAAGGTAGCGCTGTGGCTCCTGCAGGCTGACAGCACACCTCCCACCTGGTCACACACACAGAGCAGCTGGGAGTCACACCCAACTCATGTCTGCATTTAAATGTCTCTCACCATCGTGCCGTCCTCTGCACTCTGGGCCCTGCTGACCCAGGAGGAAGCCTTCCTCCCACCCCCACCGCCACCCAGAGCCGTCTTCTGGACACAGAACCTGGGTTGTGTCATTTCCTGTGTCGTCTGTGGGATTGGTCTCCAGGGGCTCCCTGAACGATTCCTTGGGGGGATGCCCCCCACCAGTGTGTCTGACCTCACTCACACCCCACACACCCAACGCTTCCCGATGCCTCCACCACCCACCCTCCCACAGGAATCCTTCATTTCTTGTCATATTTTATTAAAGGGTTTCCCACAGGCACAGCTGACTTTGTGATCATGTGACCCATGCTGTCACACAGGGCCCCTCGCTGGGTTTCCACTTGACTTCTAATGAAGTTGAACAACGGGCTCCTGGTTCCCATATATACGGGGCCATGCGGCTGCCGTCCTTGTCCTGCCCTCAGGTGTGACACCTCCTTCCAGGAGCAGTCCATGGCCCCCACACTGGTGGCAGTGCTGTCTCTGTGAATGGATGGGTGTCCTTTGTAGACTAGTCACCTTGTCCTCCTTTGGCTCCATGTGCCAAGCAGGGCTTCTGGACAAGTTTGCTCACAGCTGGTGTTTCACTGAGTGAGTGACTCACCTGTGCCCCTGTGTGCAGCCTGGGCTTTGAACCCATCCCCCACCCGCTGAGGGGTCTGACGTGTCAGCCTCACGTAAAACCCATCACCCTCTCCCCCACCACAGTCTGATGTCCCAGGTGAATTTCAACTCTCAGCATGACCCACAAGACCCCCAATCATTCCTGCTCCGCCCATGTCCTGCCGGCCCCAGGGGTGCTGGCAACTCGCAAGGGCTGGCTTTCTCCAGGGCGCCCCCTTCCTGGAGTGCTGTGCCCACCCAGAGTGTCTGGGAAACTCCTACGACTCCCTCCAGACTCAGGTTACCCATCACCACATCCGGTATTTCCTGTCCTCCCTCCTGGGTGACGAGCTCCTC